TCTCTCTCTCTCTCTCTCTCTCTCTCTCTCTCTCTCTCTCTCTCTCTCTCCCTCTCTAAACAAATAAAATAATAAATAAATAAATAAATAAATAAGAAACCTAAAAGAAAAGAAAGCTGACAAAATTTTCATTTTGCATTAGTCAACCTCTCCCACGCATGAAGCCTGCCCTGGAGTGTGGCTCACATAGCCACTGGACATCTCCCAGCAGACATCAATCACAAAAAGCCTGTTGGTATTTTATCTAACAGAGAAACCTAAAAGAAATGGATGAGTTTCTTGGTAAATATGACCTACCAAAGTTAAATCAAGGTTAAATAAACTATTCAAACTAACTGATAAACCCTAGTAAAATAGAAACAACAGTTAAAAATCCCCCAACGGGGACTGGAGAGGTCACTTGGTCGTTTTGGACACCAGCTACTCTTTCAGAAGATCAGGGTTGGATTCCGAGTACCCAGACACCGTCTCACAACTGTCTAAAACGCCACTTCCAGGAGATCTAATGCCTTCTTCTGGCCTTTGTGGGCACCAGGCATTTGTGTGGTATGCAGACATACATGTAGGCAAACACCTATATACATGCATTTTAACTGAATTGAAGAAATCCTCCCAACCAAAAAAGTTCAGAGACAAATGGATTCAACACATAATTTTACCAGCCCTTAAACAAAGAACGAATGCCAATATTCCTCATAATACTCTGTAAAATAGAAACTGAAATACTTCCTAATTCTTAAGAAACCACAATTATCCTGATACCAAAGCCACATAAAGACTCAAGAAAAATGGGAAATTATAAATCAATATCCTTTATGAACATAGATGTAAAAATTATTAATAAAATGCTTGTAAACTGAATTTAAAAACACATCAAAGAATGTTTTCTACTATGGCACTGAAGAGATGACTCAGAGTTTAAGAACATCGACTGCTCTTACAGAGACTTGGCTTCGGTTCCCAGTACTCATATGGCAGCTCACAAACCTCTGTAACTCTAGTTCCAGAGGATCAAATACCCCCTCTGCCCTCCTTGTGCACTGCATGCATGTGGTGTACAGATATACACACAGGTAAACACTTACATGCATTACATAAATAAGTAAAACATTTAAAAATTATCCACCATAATCATAATCATATTAGTTTTATCCAGAAATGTAGGAATGGTTCAGCATATATAAATCAATAAATATAAACAAAAAGTACATGATCATTTCATTAGATGCAGAAAGAGCCTTTGACAAAATTTCAGAATTAGCTATTTACGAAGATGGTTATAAAGTTCTTAGCACCTCATAATTATGTAAACTGTGCTTGAATCTCTTTCCACAATTCTAGGACAGTATTATTTAGTCACCTTGTTCAATCATCACTCTGTCAGACATTGCCTCCAAGGTCAAAGATAAAAATCAATCTCCTTCTTTAGTGATGTGCTTCAATTTTTGTATCAGAAAGGTTTTACCATGAAGCTAAGTCTGGCTATAATCTGAGATCCTCCTGCCTCAGTCATGTATTTTGATGCTGGATTGAGTTTATTTCTGGAAGGCTATTATTTCTAGATAACTCAAATTAGCCTATATATATAAAGGATTTCCTTCCACATATTGCCTCTACTAGAAACTACTTTGCACTCATATACTTGATAGAACACTTGTGTGTGGCCTCTGAGGAGTCATTAAGAGGTTTCTGGAACACCTCTCTGAACTCAGGAAAGCAGAGACTTACTTTGACACTCAGTTTGGGGCGATGTGCAGCAAAGGGCTGAGGACATGTGTCTCTGCGACTCCAGGAGCAAGTGGTGCGTGCTTTCTCACATCGGGACCATAAACAGAAAAGGGGGTGAGATGCCCAGCTGGACCACAACTCTTGAGCTAGTGCCTGTCTTCCTCCTCTAGTTAATTCTTTCTGGAAATGCCTTCCCAGGCACACTCAGCAGCACCTCGATAATACTCTTAAGATGGTCAAGTTGACAAACCAAATTAAAATATAGGTCAAGACCAGTAGACCCCTGTTTGGGACATCGGAGTCTATCTCCCCTAAAGATATTGACTCATCCCCCAAGAAAAACACATAACTGTAAAGTGTTTAAGTCACTGAGCCATCTTTCCAACCTCAGATTTTATATTCTTGATGACGAATATGTACCTAGTTCAGAAATATCAAGGAAAGCATAACTTCCTGAATCTCATCTGCACATGACTATTTCTGTTTCCACTTCTCTGCCATGTTAGGACAGCCCAGTAGAACTTACCCAGATGCCAACTCCATGGTGTTTGTACATTGCAGTCACCAAAATTATGCCAAACCCTCTTTGTGTAAAAGTGTTCCAGGCTCGGGTTCTTTGTTATAACAAAAGGAAGTGAATCAAGAGAGTAGACAAATTCTCAACATTTGTTTAAATGTTTATAGGGTATCTTAGTTTGAGTCCAAAAGGGATTGGCATCTCCAAATCAGAGTAATTGATCTCTCTAAGACTCATGATCAGTTTCCCTCACTGTTACTGCAGAAGTTCAGACACTGCACACAAAGTCCTACACACCATAAAGGTCTTATAAAGTGTAGTAGTAATTGTTACTATTCCAAGACTTGGAATAATTTTCTTCCAGGAATCTCAAGAACTAGCTATGACTTTTCTCATGGGAGGAATGAGGAAATGAAAATGAAGTAATATAAATTGATGACCTAGGTCTCAAGGCTGTGAGACATCAGAAATGCCTTCTATTTTAAGAAAAATCAGGTGAGTACGATATTCTAGGGAGTATCTCTTAATTCCAAGATTTGTCTGACACTCAGAAATTTTGAAAGTGGACAAATTAAACCTACAGAATCAAAATAGAGGTATCCTGCTTGTGTGTGTGTGTGTGTGTGTGTGTGTGTGATAATTACTTCCATGACAAATAATTTCACCATAACATACATGCTTTGAGTATGTAAGCCAATAAAGTATACTCAAAGTTATATGATAAGCACCATCCTCTCAGTCCACATTTAATATGATTGGCATAAATCCCACAACCATAAGCAATTCGTTCCATTTCTCCCTCCTCTCTGCTTTCTTTCTCTTCAGACACTCCTGTGCTGGACATGTCATATAAACAGGATTGTGTAATGTGTCATCACTACTGGCTGACTTGTTTCACTTGGCTGCATGTTTTCAAAGTCCCTCCATGCTGTAATATTTTCTTTAATCCATCATATGGGTGCTTGCCATTTTATTTATGAACTCATCCTTGATGGACATTTACATTTTCCTATTTTGACTGTTATGCATTCTGCTCCTGGGACTGGGATTCTGGGATCACCTGATAAGTCATGGTTAGCCTTTGCATCAACAGCCAGATATTTTCTAAAGTGATCACACCATTTCCCACGCTCACAAATAACAAATGAGGGGGTAGTGTTGTTTCCCCACATCCTTGCTAATGCCTATTATTATCACCCTTGTGACCAAAGATGTCCTAGAGACAAGAAGTGATGATGGAGACACTTTGTTAACCAATTATCTTTAAGAGGTGGGACCAAGTTAGGGTGAGGCTTTCTGAGACTTGGAGAAAAATGGGAGGGCACAAGGCCCAGGTGCTCTCTCTCTCTCTCTCTCTCTCTCTCTCTCTCTGTGGTTCCCTGGCAGCACAGCTGAGCTTGGACTTCTCATTCCTTTTTTGTGAGTTTTCCCCTTATAATAAATAATATAATTATTTTATCTTTTAGCTAGCTTGGTTATTTCCCGAATTGAGCTAACTTCTACAGAATGACATTGTGCTGTTGTCTTGCTCACTCATTTCATTTTTTTTTAAGAAAAGTTTCAGGTATGCAGAAAAATTTTTCAGAAACAGAGTTTTCATAGCTCCGTTTTGGCCAATAATAACATCCCCTGTTATTAATATGTTAGATTCGTGTAGTCCATGAGTTATAACTGACGAGTCAATACAGATGCACTCTTAGTAACTAGTCTCTAGTCTGCAGTAGAGTTCATACTTAGAGTTGTCTGGACCCGTGGATTTTGACAAATGCATAATTTTTCAGACTCCCCATTAAATTATCATAACAGAATTATTTGAATCTCTAAAACTTCTCTAGATTCTATCTGTTCACCTCCTCACCCACTCCCCCAAAATACCTGGAACTCATTGATACACCTACAGTGATAGTAATTTGCTTTTCCTAGATTATCCTGTGGTTACATGGTCAGAAGCATGCAGTACCCTTTCTCAATGTCCTTTTCACTTAGCAATAAACATTTTCAGTTCCTCTGCCTCTTCTCACAGCTCGACAGTGCCTCTCCTCCTCAAATTCCTCTCTTCCTCTCTTTCTCCTTCCTCATCTCTTCCCTTCTCTTCCTTTTCCTCCCCCTTCCTATTCCTCTTCCTCTTCCTCTTTTGCTTCCTCCACTCTTCCTCTTTTTCTCTTAGTTCCTCCTTTCTTGCCACATTCCTGAAAATCTACTCAGGGATTTGTGCACAATGGGCCAGCACTCCATAACTAAGTTATACCTCAGCCCAACACATTTCTTTTTGTCACTGGGTAATAGATGGCTGTGCCGTCACCTGTTCATCTATTCACCTGTTGAGGGACATTTTGGGTGTTTCTGAGTCTTGATAATTATGAAAAAAAAAAGCTGCTATAAATTCATGTGAAAATTTTTGTCCGACAGGACCAGATCATTGGGGTAATAGCTAAAAAGCATAATGGTCATACTATAACACCACGTTAGCTTGGTGCAAAACCAGAAAATCTTGTTTTCACCAGCAGTCCTAGTCTTTGACCGCTGTTTTCATTCTTCTAATATTGTCTATCACCAAAAGAGGTTTTCGCTTTTTGACTGTGGATGTATCTGATATTCATTTGTGTGTTCATATGTGTATAAGCACAAGTATGCATATAGATGCATGGGTAAGGTGCATGTGCATGCCTTACAAATGCTGGCGGGGTCAGAAGATAAGGTAAGGTGTCTTTTCCCATTATTCTTCACCTTATATATTGAGGTAGAGTACTCACTTGAGCTCAGAGCTCTCTGCTTAGGCTGGTCTAGCTGCCAGCTTGCTCACTGGATCTTGCTCCTGCCTCGTGATAATTGGATTACAAGTGGCCTCATGCCTACTCAGCATTTTCTTGGGTGCAGAAGACACAACTGCCCATCCTCCCACTGTGTGAAGCCAGGGTTTTACACTGAGCACTTCCTGAGCCCAAGGAATTTTTCATTTTAGCATAGTCCAAGGTTGGCTTATTAGGTTAAAGAATCACACTTTTGGTGTTGTGTTGTAAGACATTCAAACAAGCGCAAGCAAAACTACAAGTGGGCAAGGCTGATTTTAGGCCAATCTGGAGTCATTTGGAAAGAGGGAGTCTCAATTGAGAAAATAACCCCACCAGACTACCTGTGGTACCACAAGACAAACCAGTAGTATGCTTTCTTGATTAGCAAATGATGTGGGAGGACACAGCACGTTGTGAGTGTTGTCATTTGCGCATGCTGGTGGTTCCGGGTTCTGAAAGGAACCTGACTGAGCAAGCCATGGGGAGCAAGTCAGGAAAGTAAACAACCTTCCTCCATGACTTCAGTTCTTGTTTGCAGGTTCCTGCCCTGATTTCCCTAGAAGATGAACTTCACTCTGGGAGATGAAATAAACCTTCTCCTCCTCATCCACTATTAGTCATGTTGTTAAACCACCACCATAGAACACCTCGCTCTTCCTCTTCTGCTATCTTGTGAACGTTTTTATGTTTATGTACATTTTGATTTGGTTTTTATAGCTGTCAGGCCTGTGCCTAAACTCATAGCATTGCATATGGATATTACACTATTCCAGGACCAACGCTAAAAGATGACTTTCCATGGAATGGTCCTTGATTAATTGTGGAGATGAGATTTTTATGTTGCATGGGTGTGCTGTGAGGTCCTCTATGCTATTCCTTTGATCTGGTCATGTTGTTAAAAACATTTCACAACAACAACAACAAAGAAATATCTAATGTCACATAGTCTATTTCACTGTAGCTTTGTAGCACGTTTTGAAGTGAGGCCTGACTAGTCGTGACTCCATCAGTATTGTGTTGGCTTTATGTATCTTTTACCCTTCTATATAAACTTTAGAATAAATTTATTCATATAAATAAAGCACTTCCTGGGGTTTTGAGTAGAATTCTGTTGACTCTGTTGCTCAACGCTGTGAACTGACATCTTTTCAATATGTATCTTTTCACATAACCATGCTGCCCTGAGCATATCTACCACCCAAATTGATTTCTAATACCCTTTCCACTAAAAGGAGCCTAGCTTACTTCTAGAAAGGGCTGACAAGGGAGGTATAAAATAGACCTGAAATAGTTCATTGTGACAGAAATTGAAGAATGGCTAAAACTAATAAAAATAAATGGCTCAAAAAGAGAAAAATTATTAATTACCAAATCTGAAACAAATGGAGCTTCAAAATAATTAAAGATAGAAACGCTATGAAGCGTTGACAAATCTGATACTTTTGTCATGAAGCACCAAGACAAGCTGAGGATCTATATAAACACATGTCATTCTGAAGTAGATGTGAACTGAAAGAACAAAATGCTCAGTCAAGTGACAAAATTTGAATATAAACAATAGTTCTTAGACTTCTTAGAGTTGCCAAACCACTATGCCTATTTGTCCTTTTTAAAAACATGTTTCAGGTTACTTCTGGAAATGGGGGGTAGGCTCAACATATGCTCCATCCGTTCACAAGACAGTTTCTGCACTGTGCGTATTTATTTCCATGCACTACTGTGTTTGCTACTCAGTGCACATGTGACAAAGCAAATTCTAAGAATTGGTGAATCCGAAAAAAGGATACGCAGGATTTCTTACATTATGCTTGCAGTATTTACCTTAACTGTGAAATCCTTCCAAATAAGATCTATGAAAGCTGGAGTTCCGCATACACCAAAATTAGACGTTTGCACGCAGAAGGTATGATAGAACCATGTAAAGATCATGCAAACAGAAGGGATGATGGTACCATGTATTCTGCAGAACAGTTGCGTGGAGGATGCCTAAGACCTTGAGTTCAGTTAATCCTGCTTGGTCAGCCCATTTGCTGTAATGTCACTATAGTGTGTATCAGTGCTCATGGCTTGGAAAAGGCAGTCGTTTTTAAGCTACATAGGATCAATTTCAGGGTCAATTGGTACCGGAGACATAAAACCATATTTTTCTCTGAGGATTCACTGGGTGGAATACGTGAGTGAAGAGAATTAAGTAGTACTAGAAAGAGATAAAGGTAGGTAGGACTATGAGGGCGTCTTCCTTAAACAACAATGTCACAACATGACATCCTAGCCGGGATCATATCTGGGAAAGGCTGGCTAAGCCCCAGTACATCCAATCCTTCTCCTTATCAGGGAAGAATGCAGGCACGAAGAGTCACTGAGTGTAGATAATGAAAAGTGTAAATGTGTTCATATGCATAAATGTCACTCCATTCTTCACAAAAGAAACTCGTATCCACACATTCATGCTTCTGTACAATTCGGGATAATATATAATTTTAGTTGTTTACAAATAACATGTTATGCTTCAAATATTACATAAGGTTGATAATACATTTCTGGCAGAAATAAATATATTGCACTTAAACAGAACTTCGTTAGATGTTACTTCATAGTATTAGGCTTATAATTTTTCCCCATAGAACATTTCCCACACCCTTCCCCCACCCCACACACTGCATTACAGTGACTTTTCCACGCAATTCATTAAGCAAATGAAGACACAGCAAACAAGAAGACCGTGACAGTCTGCTTAAACAGGTGATACAGAATTTCATATTTTAGTTAACAAAAGAATCTTTTCAGATTTCTAAAAAAAAAAAATGTTAAAAGCAACTTAATACAACATGTCTTTGCGCCAGAAGTAAAATACAACAAATTGTATCTTTTGTCCAGATGTACTATTACACACGCACACACACACACATACACACACACACACACACACACAATTTATTTTCTTTACAGAATGCTCTCTTTAAAGAGGGAAGAGATTGAAATTATGCAAGAGAGAGAGAGGCAGATAAAGAAAGCTAGAAAACATGAATTATTAACCCATCAAATACTTACAAGTGAGCTTCTATATTTAGCTTGGAGAGGAAAGGTAAGTGTTTTGGTGTGTTTAATCTGGTATAGACTAGTAAACCATGACAAAAGGGTTTTATGCTTCCTTAATGTTTTAAAAGTTTATAATCTTCCCTTTGCTTGTTCACAGCAATGTCTTTCTTTCTAAGACAATAGAAAAAATACATATAAAACCCACCCTTCCTGAAGTAACTCTCTAGAGTAACAAGATAATCTTTTTCTTTTGTCTACTGGTTTATCATAATGTGTATTGTTTTGTTTGTAGTAATTATCAATTCTAGAATTTTTCACTGAGTGAAAACCTGGGTTTTAATACAGCATGTTAGCATGGTCATTAATGACTAAGTCACCACCGAGCTTCCCTGCCTGTCTAACAGTGTGGGAAGTCCTCCCACCTGTTGAATACACAGGTGATTTTCCTCAACATAATTGCCCTTTCCATAAGCACTGTAGCTTTAAAAGTTCATCCGAAATAGAGAAATAGAATAAATAACCTAGCATCTCCCTGAAACACTCATAGGCAATGTGAGACAAGAGGCTTCACTTCTAAAAATATTTCTTGGGCATGTTGAGGATTCCCTTTCTTTTTATTACTGTATTTGGGGATGGGAGTGTTGTACCTGGAGAAGCAAAATGGTGGACTCTTGGCCAGTGGTTGGGGAGGTAAGATCTACAAATGGCCTGAAGTCAGTGCAGCTCTTACATAAAAGCCCACCCAATGTTACTGCTGCATCATGAATCTCTACAGAGAAATTTTACATCTCTTGTCCCCACTCACTACCAGTGCTGGTAACCTTCCAGACAATACACCATTGTTACTAGCTGGAAATGCCAACAACGGAGCAGAAAGCCCTGAGCTAGACAGTGTTACCTAACAATTGCTGATATGCCAGGCACATCTGGATGTAGTCCCACAAGAACTGCTGGGGACAGGAAGCAGGTGGGATGAATCACTAAACAAAGAATGGACACAACTCAACTTAGAATTATTGAGGTATATTCTAAAGCCAGTGAGTTATGAATGAGTCTGTCAGAGCTCAGTAAAGCAAGCCTGGCCAGGCGTCCTCAGCAGCACTGCGCTTGGTCACACAAAGGGGAAGTCCTGAATTTATTCCAATTATGTTTTAAGTCTTAATCATGATTATCCAATTGAATTTACCTGTTACTATCTAATTCTTGCCATCAATTTTGGTGGAGTGAACATTTGGTATTTTTAAAGAGTAAATTCCCAAGGAATTAATAAGAATTGATGGCCAGAATAAACCCCAAAGTTACAGGTGGATCCCAGGCTTGACTGCTAGGCACCCACATGGCCCCATTCCCCTTGGATGGCTTCTGTCTAGTTCATGTAATACCAACAGGGGAAACAAAAACCCAGTTAAGAACTTTAGGGAGAAAAATTTTCCAGAGCCTGCTTTGCTAGGCATCATGGATGCCATTCAGTTTCGTTCTTATATTGCCGAATTACAAGAAAAATTCCAAGAAATATTGACAAAGATCATATTTAACAACAACAACAAAAAATCTACTGTGAGGCACACAGATTGGGAAAACTACAGAAAGTATTAAAAACAATCGTCTCACTGTCATGGGAAAGAAAATGCAGACACTCACTCACTTCACTAGGCATCCTAGAAGATAATGTCCTGGTTTTCCCTGCAGCACTTTATTCCAAGATCCTATTGCAAAAGGCCAGTCATTGAGTACCATCCCCTACCCTAACCCTATGGGCGTTTATTTTAAACATCACTCACCACTGGTTTTAAAAATAAATGCATGTCTGTACTTGTCGGGAAACCAACTCCCTGCGGATCCAACTGCGAGACGATGACACACAAGAAGCCAGATTCACCGGCAGTGTCTGACAGGGGAGTTTAAAATGGTTTTGTTGACAGTACATGCCTCTTTGGAAGTCCCGTACGGACTTTGGTGGAAGAACATCAAGTGAGAAACCTAAAGCCAGCATCCCACCCTAGGCTGGGTGTGGCACCTTGTTTCAGAGGTTGGTCTTGGCTTAGAAAGTCATTCAAAGTGGAAATGTCCAACAAAACCACCAAATCAAATTGCCGAGTGAGGTGGTACCTACATTGAGCTGATGCCTCAATACTCTTCTACGGTCAGGAGTGCCACTTCCCGTGTCTTCTAGCACATTCAATATATTTGAAGTAGGAACAGAGTAGAATGAAAACTACATAGGAAATTTAAACTAAACTAAAGTTCAGGGGAAACTGTGTGAAGCAAACCGGTCACATCCTAAAGGTGAAACACACTGTCTTCAAAGCTGAAGGTCTAACGACTTCAATAAATCTATGCTATTAGGGATTTATTATTGTAAAATACCAGATTTGTTGCCCTGGACTGTAAATGCTAAGATACATGTTGTTCAAAAATAACATCTTGACTATATAGCAGTAAAACATAATCTCTAGTGTATTTAGAGAGGGGACGCTTAAGCAAGAAGCTGGCTGCAGCCCTAGTTTGCTGGCAAGAACTGTCAGTGTTTCTGTCAGGGAGTCACCGAATTAACATTCAGTTTCATGTTAGCAACTGGGGAAAATGGAAGGGGGTCTGTAAACGTATCACAGACAGATGAAAGAAGTCAGAGGCAGGGCACACTCATGCCCACGGGCATATGTGAAAACATGGTGAGCCACCTGTGAGAGAATGGCCAGTGGCAAATCCCTGATAACAAAGGCAGCCGCAATAAAGCAGATTCTAAAAAAATCAGACGTTGGCCCAATGTGTTTTAATATGCAAAAGATCCCCAACACTGAAGTAAAAACGAAGGGGACTTCGGTTGGCATGGCAGAGAAATTCCCCTCAGATGAGAACCGCCATATTTTGATTGTAGTTTGTACAAGGGAACCTTGTCGATCACCATGCATGGGCTCTGGAGAGGTCCTCGGTGGCCATTCCAGCAGCCCATTGAGAATGCAGCACCCCGAAAGCCAACCTCTTAGATAATAACAGAACAGCTTACTTTAAAATAACACACAGAGGGTTTCCCCTGCATACCTGCAAGGTTTTTGCAAGAAAAAGAATTATTAGGAAAAAGAAAAGGGGAAAGAACTGAAGACAGAGCTTCTAGTGTCCCGGCCTGTGGCCAGCAGGAACTTGGGAAAGGCAGTTTCTGCTATTTGTTCATACCACAGGATGCTTTAGCACCGACTCCTCCCCTTCCCCAGCAAACTGACAGAAAGGAAACTAAACATGCTTAAGCCACAGCACTACAAACATTCCGCTACTGGCTCCCATTTCACACTGGGAGAAACGGAGTTGAGTATTTCAATATGCTATATAGTATTGCCTTCTGGACGATGCTTAGAACCTGTTGATAGAAAGAAAGCCTATATACAAGGATTTTATACAATACTGCATCAACAGGACTTTTAAACACGAGGAATAACGCACCTGGAGATACCTTTGCCTTAGATCATTAAGCTTCCTAGGTAAACTGATGTTTTGTTAGTTGTAGGAGCAGGCTGGCTAAACTTAACACTGGATCCAACTGCAGATGAATCCTGGCCCATGGTGCACTCCCCTACACTCGGAGTCCAGCTCTCCTCTTTAATAAGTCTCTATTTCCTGGAGAGTCCCTGCTCCAATACCCCACATCCCACCCACCCCCATCCCTCTCCTCTATTTTCATATCCATTTGCACATTCTGGATCTAGCTCCCCCGACTCTCAGAAGAGTCATACAAACGGCGTCATCACCGCAGAGGAATGGCGTAGTCCTTGAATGGCTGCATAGGGCCCCTGCTGAAAGTAGTGATGGTATCGAGGCATATGGAATGATGGGAACGTAGGACCACTTCCCTGCATCGAGCTGGCAATGGCAGATGGGGTCAGAGGCATTCCCAGGCGGCTATATGGTGGCAGAGAACCCTGTATAGGGTGAGGAATGGGTGTCGCTATGGACGCTGTGCTGGTGCCAAGAGCAGTCAGGGTCTGTGGGTGCTGAAAGCCAGGGAAACTGGAAGACGATGATACCCAGGAACTGAGAGACAAATTGTCAGATGTTGTAAAGGCTGATCCTGGAAAAAAAAAAAACTCATTAGACTGAGGTGAATCTACTGATGAAGAGCTAGAGATCAGTTTGTGGTTGTTGTTGTTGTTAATTTGAGATAGGGTCTTATTGCGTGGCCCTGGCTGTCCTGGAATTCACTATATAGACCTGAATTCACTGAAAACTTACCCACCTTTGCCTCCTATGTGCTGGCATTAAAGGCATGTGCAGCTACGCCTAGTTTAAGATTAGTTTACTTTAAAAAATACTAATACTCCACACTCAATAGTAGTTGGGCAACATATGGGACTCAATTATTTCTAAAGAAGGGGTTGAACTGTTGACTCATCAGTTGAGAACACTGTAGTCCAGGGGATAGTTTGAATACCATCACCCATACAATAGGTCACAGCCGTCTGTAACTCCAGTCCTATGGGAATCTGATGCCTGCCTTCTTCTGACCCCTACAGACACCAGGCATGTACATACATGTAGATAAAGCACTCGTGTGTGTGTGTGTGTGTGTGTGTGTGTGTGTGTGTGTGATAAATATAAAAAAAAAAAGAAGAGAACTCAAAGTCAGGAGACTAAAGAAGTGAGGGTGGGTCTGGGAAGAGTTTGGAGAGGGAGTTGAATGTGACCAAAACACACTCTATGGAATTCTCAAAGAATTAATAAAACTATTAACATTTTAAAAAGAGGGAAAAATGTTATATCAGCATTTCAAAAAGACAAACCAACATGAACCTTACTAAAGGGTAGATCCGACTTTGTAGATAAGAAGGTATCGTTGGCATCCTACATGGAAGGAAGAAGTAACTAAACAGAAACGCACTCAGCTGATTGCACGGCCTGCATATTCCGGAGTGGCCAAGCAGTGATGCTTTGCCGGAGAATATGACCTCATTTCCTTAAAGAGGAAGCACCTATCTGTAGCACCTATCTGAAGGAATCCAGATAAGTTCAGCAAAGCCACCTTTTCCCAAAGCCGTCATGAAAACCTGAAGAATAAATTTTTCTACACCAGAAATGCTGAATTTTCCAATCACGTAATGGTTTGTGGCTTCCTTTCCCTGAGTTATTAGAAATGCCCTGTGTTTTCACTAACTGTGTTGCTTGGTATTTTAGAAATAGGCCCAGAAGAAAAGATAAAAATTCTTTCCCCATGGTACCATCCTAAAGTGGGGCCCCACTGACCTCTCTTCTCTGTCTTTCCCATCATTCATGCTTCCTGTGTGCTCCGTTTTCTCTCGGAGCTTCCTGCTCAAGGAAACTTGACTCCCTTCCTTTGTGCTTTGTGTCACGTGTGCAGTGTGTACTGGACAACCTCGAGTGTCATTCCCCACCCCGTTTTTGAGGTATAGTCTCTTTACTATTCTGGAGCTAACTTATTATGACAGGTTGGAAGCCAGTGAGCCCAGGGATTTGCTTGTCTCTGATTCTCGGAGTCAGGGAACTCTAGGTGACCAAGTCATCTCTCTAGCCCTTGGTTTAATTCTTGCTTCAACTACTAAGGCCAGTGAAGGCCCTCTGTCATGATATTCTTCTTTTAAAAGTGTTCTTCATTGTGAACTTTGATCCTAACAAAATATTCCTAATTTTCAAATAATAAAGCTGAGATTCAAAAATAGTAAGAAACTGTCCAGAACTGTGATTGGTGGCTCTTTGGCAGCAAGACACAGATAAACCCATCTCTACCCTATTCTATGTTCTGTTACCAGCAAAACACACCACAGAGTAGCCACTCAAGCAAACTAATGAGGCATACGAGGATCAGCACTGGAGACTGCTTCTTTTGAAAAGGCTTGAAGGCACTTATTGGCATGCGTCCCCAGAGGACCAGACATTCCACCAGCAACCTGTGTTTATTCCCTGTCAAGTGCTCTGGCCTGCAGCAGCTCCACATCTCCGCATGGTCGACAGCCTTACCTCGATTTGGAGTTGTTTGGTTCTCCTCCCCCAGTACATCCTCTTCTCCATAGGTGCGGATGGGTGAGCGGGCATAGGAATGCTTCTGGATCAGGCTCTCCACACTCTCCCTGCAGAACAGAGCGACATCTCACAGTTCTCTGCAGAGAGGGGGTTGGGGGGCTCACTTGTCTATTTTTTTTTTCAGACAAAGGGCAAGACAACTTTCAAAGCTTGTACGTTCATTCACTGTAAAGAGACTTCTGGAACGTGAGTTCAGATGCCTAAGTGCAAATAAATACAACTAGGCAGAAATAGAAGGACACAGAGCAATGAAATATGGTCATAGGAGGATGGGATTTAATGAAGCAAAAAATGATGAATGAATCTACTATAGGATGGCAATAAATCTTATAGATTTCAGCAGATAATGACTCGAAACAGATACGAATTGATTCACATGTACTGGCTCAGGATATGATAAAATATTGGGAAAAGTTCATAATATCAGTTATAAAATGACCCGGTATTCACTAAGAATGTAAACACACAGGGTACATGGCAATATGAACAGCTTGGATAATGGACCTAGAAGATCTTTGTTGTGTTTAAACTGAAAATTATAGAAAAGCTGTAGCAGGAACATGAGCAAATCGAGACCCTCAGAAACACTGGTACATTGTCTTTGAAGAGGATCTCCCAAGAGGTCAAATAACTCTTTCAAAAAAAAATAGTTATGACCTATCAAAGGGCCAAAAATTGATACTTTTAAATTGTGTGGAATGAGAAAGGAGAAGCCAAACACCCAAGTGCTTACTGAAGAAATAAGTAACTAAATCAAGTGTCACAATAACTATTCAATGTAACATTTGACATTTCACAGAGATATACCCACACTTGTGAAGATGCTATCTAATTAGCAGTGTGTTTGAGGTCCTAAAAGTTTATATAATCATAACGCTGTGGGGTCTTGTCCCCAACAGATAATGGGGAGAGCCCACTTCTGCACATTCCAATGTTTGGTTGATCTCTGTTTCTAGAGATCACTAAAAACCACAATGCCCTAATTTCTGCTGCTGAATTAAAGTATCAAAATGAGCTTTCACCAGTACCCCAAATTCATTTTTTATTCAAAATTGTATTGATTATTCTAGTTTCTTTATTTCCATATAAATTTAGTACTTGTTGATTTATTTTTTTAATTAATTTATTTGTTTATAAAAATTTCCACTTCCTCCCCTCCTCCCCATATCCTCCCATTCCCCCCCCACTCCCTCTCTTCCTCCCCCCGACTCCCTCTCCTCCTCCCTCTCCAGTCCTAAGAGCAGTCAGGGTTTCCTGCCCTGTGGGAAGTTCAAGTTCCTCCCCTCTCCCTCCAGGTCTAGCAAGGTGAGCATCCAAACAGACTAGGATCCCAAAAAGCCAGTACATGCAGACAAAACAAGACCCAGTGCCATTGTCAATGGCTTCTCAGTCAGCCCCCATGTCAGCCACATTCAGAGACTCCAGTTTGATCACATGCTCGTTCAGTCCCATTCCAGCTTGTTGATTTATTTTTAAGATTACTGAAATTTTAATCAGAATTGTGTCTGAGATGTACACCAATTTATGGAGAGTTGACATTTATAATATTGAGTCTCTTTCAGCCCATGAACAGTATGTCCTTCTATTTATCATTAGAGCTAAATAAATTTAAATATGCCAGCCTGACACATGTAAGCCACATTTATCTCAAAATGTTTCATGTTCTACTAAATGCTCTTTAATTTAAGTTTCAATTTCTCATTTATAGTAGATATAGATGCAGGTTTTTTTTTTGCATGCTGCTTGTGGTTTGCAGCTTTGCTAACACACGTATTTGCCCCAGTGACTCTTTCAAAGATTTGCATTTATATGCAATCGTGATATCTAGGATCAGAAGTGATTTCAATTCTTTGCTTCTGTTCATAATGAATTTTATTTTACTTTTCTCCCATTTTACTGCAACATCCACAGTCACCTGTCCAGCTATGAATAGAAGTGGTCAGATTCACTTAGTGAGATCCCACACCATATACATAGCATTGCTCCAGGGCTGGGTGGATGGCTTTCATTGGAGTTGGTCTAATGAAATTCAAAGACTTGATCCCTCCTCATGCCATGTTGCTGACAGGAATTTTTAAAATAAGAAATAGATTTTGCATTTTGATTTTGTTTTTGTTATTTTCTGTGTCTATAAAGAAAATCAAATGACTTTTCTTTTTTTAGTAAGTTAATTTAATCAGTTACGTTGGGTAAACTTCTAGTGTTAAAATAATTTTGTTCTTCTGAGGAAACCTCTAGTTTGGTCATATTATTGTTGTTTTGTTTAACTCAATCTCCTAGAATTAGTTTAAGACTTTTCCCATGTATATTCAAAAAGGAATATTAGTCTCTTTTTTTCTATTTTGCAATATCTTTATTCAGTCTTAGTCTTAAGGTAACAATGTCCTCATAACTTCATTTTAAAAGTATCCTTGGATTTCTCTTCCTGAAATAGCCTACCAAAGCAACCTAAGGGGAAAGGGTTTATTTCAGCTCATAGTGCACAGTCCACCATGACAGGAATAAAGATAGAATGAGCCTAGGATAACAGGTCTTATTGTAGTCACAATCAGAAAAGAAAGAGATGCAAACATGCTGCCTCCACTTACACAATCCAGGATCCAGCTAGAGCATGGTGGCACCTCACCCACAGGAGATGGGTTGGAGTTAATGCAATCAAGATAACCATGCATGCTCAGAGGTCTACCTCCCAAGTGACTGCAGGTCCTGTCAAATTAATCATTAAAACTAACCATCACATAACCCTTCCCTTCGGTTTACTAGAAAAGCTGAGAATTTTTGTTATTGTACATTATTTAAATATTTTGTATAAGTAACCAGGGGGCACCTTAGCCTCTATGGAAACATTAATTACAAATTCACAACTATCAAATGCATTTGATAGCTCTTGTCTTCAAAAAAATTATCTGGCTCCTTTAAATTGTTGAAATCCTAAGTGTGCTAATTATTGTACGATGATAATATTCTTTTATTACTTCTTGTCTTAGTGTCTTGTCTCTTTGCTGTAATAAAATGCTCTTACAAAAGCAACTTACAGGGGAAGGGTCTTCCCATCTCAATTACTGTGACCAACACAACCCCCCACATATAACGCAGAGCAGCAGTTCTCAACCTTCCCAATACAGTTCCCCACGTTGTGGTGACCTTCAACCATAAAATTATTTTATTGCTTTTTCATAACTGTAGTTGTCTACTGTTATGAGCTGTCATTTAAATATCTGTGTTTTCTGATGTTCTTAGGTGACCCTGTGAAGGTTCACTTAACCCACAAAGGGTCACAACCACAACCTGAGAACCACTACCATAGTCCGACCTGCTCTGGTCAATACTTCATGGCGGTCTTAGACTTGAGAGATTATGATGTCTCAACAGTGGTGTTAGTCCCCACATGCTTATTAACGGGGACTGTGTTTCCTTCCTGATCTGTTTGACTGGAGAAGTGTCAATTTTATTAATCTCCGCATTCAAGTTCCTGCTTTTCTCCCCTTATTTTCTTTTTTCTCCCCACAAATAAGACTTTTCATTTGTCACTATTAGAAACAGATTCTTGGACTGGTGACTCATATCCATCAGCCCTTTCAACTTTAGCACTTGTCTCATCACTGATAGTTTTCCCAGAACTACCACTTCCACCAGGGAGCTCCAAGAGATTTCCTAATTCAAACTTGAGTTTCTTTGGCATTTTCACGTTTCTAACAAAGACATCATGAAGAGAATAAATGGACTTGCAAGGCTTTTCTATGTCTTTCCCCATGCTATCTAGAATCAATGTACTAGCCATTTCCTTCAAGTCATTTGTCTGGACTTCTCGGATTATAATTTTCATCATCTTCTGGATCTGTGCACGGGAGGTCTTGCGTTTCTGGTTGTAGCATTTTTCGGTGAAACCAACACAGAAGAGACGAGCAAATAACCATCGCCTGTCTTGACATCACCCTGAGTGTCAATCATGGTCCGCCACTTTTTGACCACAGAACACATTTTATCCCAGGTAAGTTCCATGCCGTGAAAGTTAGTTGGACAGTTTTTACCCTAAAGATCCTCAGTAATTACCTTGAAATTTCTAAGTGCAGTTTTGTCCTTCTGTAGATCAGCAAGGCTCATTTCAAACATACGACTCTTAAGGTCATCAGATGCAATTTTGGTTCCTTGAGTCCTTGTGAGCAGTGTTTTTCCAATGTTTCTAATATTGAACATAGTTGGAGCTTTCACATCATACCAACCTTTCTTCTAAAAAGATCACTCCCTTCCTGATGGCTTTCTTCTGATCCATATTTATAGTAAATACTGAATTTGTCATAGTCTACCTTGAGGTGATATTGCGCCTTTCAAGGATAGTGGAAGAATTTTGCCAGTCCCCAGCACTTTTAAAAAAACAAAACAAAACAAAACCTTGCAGTTATATATTTAATTTACCCCTTCTAGCTTTGTATTCATCTTTTAAAACATTGTATGTTTTATAAATCCCACTCTCTACTTTTACATTTTTTAAAGATTTAAATGATATGTAAACTTTTTGTTTATCCATGTCCTTTGCATTTCTGTCAGTCTTCATTTCCTCCTGGAGATCCAAAATGGAACCTAGCACAATTGCTTCTGCCTTAAGGAGTTCCTTTAACAGATCTACAAAGCAACTAGATGGTGATGAAGTCGTCGGCTTTTGTGTGTCTGAAAAAGAACCTTTGCTCTGCTTTTGCTTTTAAGAAGTCATTCTGGTGGCTGTCATAACTCTACCGACATGCTTCCCCTCAGCTCTTCAAAGACAGTTCCTTAGTCACAAGAAGTCCGTCATCGTCTTCACTGTCATCCTCAGTTTTGTTCCTCTGACATCATGTCTTTAATCCCCTCAGTGCTGCCAGTGTTTCCTTTGTCATTGACTTCCAGCCATTCGATTATGATGTAGCTTTTACTTTCTTCGTGCTTCTTGAGCTCAGCCTGGTTGAACCTTCCGGATCATGTGTTTAATCATTGTTAAATTGGGAAAAATTACATTTCTTTTCCCATCCTCCAGTGACCTTCCAGGGTCTCTAGTTACATATATGTGATG